CACCCCAGCTGCTCTACCCCAGGTGTCCCCAAGTCAGCTGCTGCTGAAACTGATCAGCACCTGATTTCAGGAAGCCCAGGGCAGAGCACCTCTGCCTCGGGCTTCCTGTAGTCAGCCGCTGGTCAGTTTCAGCAGCGGCTGAATCTGGACGCCAGTTCCGATTACATACAAATTCAACTTAAGAACAAACTACAGTCCCTATCTTGTACATAACCCAGGGACTGCCTGTAATTTTTTGGTGAGGTGCCACTCCAAGATTTTGGAAAGTGGTCAAAGGCTGCATTTTTCTGTGCAAGGTCTAGGATGGAGGTTGGGCATAGAAGGACACAGGAGGTAAGGGACTGGGGTGCAGGAGACGATGTGAGGTCTGAGAGGGAGGTTGGGCAAGGAAGAGGGTTGTGACCTGGGTCAGGAGATTAGGGTGTAGGGTCAGGGAAGGGATATGGGTGCAGGAAAGGATTTTGACCTGGGGGAGGGACACAAGGAGAGGGTAAAAAGTCTGGGAGGTAGCTGTGACCTGGGAGAAGGGGAAAAGGGGATGCAGACTGTAGAGGGTTTGGGTGGTAACTTGGGGCAGGGGAACGGGCGCAGGGTCTGAGAGGGTGTTTGGGTGCAAGAGAAGATTCTGGCCTGGGGGAGGGGTTATGGGGAGGGAGCTGTGACCTTGAGCAGGGAGTTGGGATGCCAGAGGCAGGCTCTGGCTGGGAGGTGCTTACCTAAGCCAGCAGCCCTGCAGCACCCCAAGGCAGGCTGGGCTTGCTGCCTACTGGAGCCCTGCTTGAAACTGCAGGCTGCTCCCTCCATGTGGCTCTCAACTACCTCAGGGGAAAGAGATTTGCACTGCTCCCATCTCCCAGGCCAGTCTCTCAGCTCCTATTGGCTGGTTGTTTTTAGCCAATAGCAGCTAAGAGATTGGCTGGGATCAGTTCCTGTTGGCTGGTTGTTTCTGGCCAATAAGAGCTGAGGATTGGGATGGGGGTGGGGAGATTGCACAAAGCTTTCCCCTCCCTGCAGAGCAGAAAGCTGCCATGGACTGCACTTTAAACTGCGCAGCTGTATACCTGAGGGCTCCGACAGGGTGGTCTGTGGGTGGGATCTGGCCCCCAGGCCATATTTTGTCCAGCCCTGACCTTAGAGCAGGTCTAGATGTGTTCAGGAGCAGACAGCATCACCTCATGGGCTGAATCTGTCCTGTTGAACCCATGACCCCATTTACCAAAGGCATGACCCCGTTTGGGTATTACAGGTTGCAGCCTGTAATATAGGGGACACTATAAAGCAGGTCAAGAAAGGAAAAAATAAAAAAAACAATAGAGGAGGAGGAGAAGAGGAGCATTTCTAGAACTGCATGAAATAGAGGAGGAGAAGAGAATTTCTAGAACTGCATGATTTTCTGATATTAAATGTCTAGTGTTTACAGCAATGAGAGTACTCTACAAATATTTAATTCAGTTTTAAATTGTTTTATTTCATTGTTAAAAATATATATGTGGTATTGATCTCACTCAGTATTTTATTGTATTATAACTATGGGAAGGTCATTCTAATTTACTTTCCATATAGCAGCACTGGTGGCAGTTTGCAGCATGCTCACCATCATGCACTCTGTTCCATGACTGTCACTTAGAAACAATGCCATTGGTATGGGTGATATTCAGACACATCCACGTGCAGTGGGAGGTTGGCTTGTGTTGTGTATTTTGTGGTTCGGACAGTGGACATTTATGATCATTCTTAGGACCATGTATGTAGCAAAAATATGTGTGCTTTACTTCCAGAATAAGTATTAATTTTGTGTATTGTAATGTTTCTTTCCTTAGGTAAAAGAATATCCTGGAATAAAAATATTTCAGGCCAATGCCTCCCTCTATTTTGCCAATAGTGAATTGTATGCAAATGCGCTGAAGAAAAAGGTGAATAAAACCAATTCCTTAATATCCTCTCCCCTCTTGAAATAGTGAACTGGTCTCCAAAAAGCTTTAAGATTAAGCTTCTTGTGCATCAACTTTCAGCTCTATTGGTAAAGCCTATTTGCTCGCTATAGGAATATTTTCTAGAGGGTGAATGTGAAATTCACTTGTGGTTTGATTCTTTGACACATACTGGTTACTTTACCCACCACCAGAATGCCTTCCTGTTTGAAAAGGAGGGGTTTAGACCCAATAACGTACCTGTTTAGGGAACAAGAGTTGCATCATCAGGGAATGACACACATACTAATATCTTAAACATTTTTCTATAGCTACCAAGATGAATCTTGTACAGTTGAGGTGGGTGGTGCTTGTTTTCCCAAAACAAATGGCACTGACAATTTATATCTGACAGCATTACCCCCTATAAATCTCACACTCAATCAGTGTTCTGTTGAAAATTGTCACTCACTGTCTTGATTTAGAAAAGGATGATTCCAAAGATTTTCTCTTTTTGTATATTTTCCCTTTAAGGAAAGCTGTATAATGTAATCTTATAATATATTAAGGTGAATGAATTTGACTATTTCAATAAGTAGCATGATGGTCCCAACAAGTTGAACTTTCTTTGATGCATTTCCTTGTGTGGTAGACTGGAGTTGATCCATGTGCTATATTGGCAGCAAAAAAAAAAGCCCAGAAAAGGCATGCCAAGGAACTGAAGCAGACAAATGAACACAGAAAGAAAACCGTTTTGAAGCTTGTGAGTGCCACAGTAACTATTTGTATTTTTTTTTTGTCTATCAGCTTAACTTATTGTATGAGTTCTTCATGCACCATTCTTACAAGGTTAGTTGAAGCAGGAAGGCTTAGGTATGATGTGCAGCGCAGATGGTTGGTTGGTTGAAAAAACTACGTCCAAATAAGGGAGTCACGCAGAAGAATTGTTTTTAAAGAATTCTCTGAAATGGGGCTGCTTTTATGATCTAGGAACAGAGGCACTGCCATGCCGGATCAAACTTTAGATCCCTCTAGACTGGTATCCTGATTGACAATGGCCCGAGGCTTTATAGAAAGGTGTTGAAATTTCACAGTAGGCATATTTGGGGTTATCTGAGCTAGTGTGGGCTAATCTGAAATTAACTCAAAGTAATAACCAGTTAAATATAAATATTTCCGATTCTGTCCTCAAGAACAACATATTGACTTTAAGGAAAAGGAAGGGTTGTGGAAAAGCAGTTGTGCCGACAAGGATGGTCTAAAACTTGTTCACCTTGATGAACCCTGGAAGCTGTTAGATGCTCAGTGGTTTTGAAAATCAGGCAGGTGCCTAAATAGGGGATCAAGAACCTAATTTTAGGTTCTTTATTTTTCAAGATTTTGGCCCTTGCAATTTGTATTCATGAATATGTATGATGTAGCAGAATATGCTGCTCATAGCACTGCTGGGCCAGTGTGGTTATTTCTATAGCTGGAGAGATGGGAAAATGCTGATGGAAGGTTATGAATGAAAACTAATTCACTCCAAGGTCATGTCTGAGATCTGTTTGAATTTGCTACATACAATTGGCGTATGTAAAGAAGGTGGTGGATAGGGGAAGAGGGCTAGATCTAAGTTCTGGTATAAATCCTGTGAACAAGAAAATGTGGGGGTGTGCGACAGTGGTATAAAGCCATAGATAATTAGAGAGCCTGAAGGAAGCTTGTGGAAAAATCAATATTGCAAATGTATCTGCTTGTCATTAAGATGTTGAGTTTTTCTCTCTCTCATAGACTAATGACATGGAAACAAGCGTAAAGCACGAGGTTCTAAATGATGAACTACCCCTAAATGGAAAATCTGCTGATGCTAATGCACAAGGCACATCTCCTGATGAACTAGAACACTTTATGGAGCCCATGACAAATGTTCACTGTATAATTTTGGACTTTACACCAGTGAACTTTGTAGATTCAGTTGGAGCAAAAAAGTTAAAATCAGTAAGTGGCATCTTTCATGTTCTCTCCACCAAAATACTTTTTTTTTTTTTTTTTTTTTTTTTTTTACGGAGTTTTAGTCCCCCCCTGCAGATGATTACCCCAGCCATTCCTGGTGATTGATTATTTTATTTAAACTGG